AGGAAGAATGTATGCAATGTGTTAATTATTGAAACTGTTCTACCAATTTGATTTGAAACTGTCTCATTGCTATTTGTTTATCAATAAAATTATGGGGAAAAAATGCCACCTTCAAGATAGCAGAACAAGGCCAGGGAGATAGCTAAGTCAAATAAGCACTTGCATGACAAACGCAGGGTCCTGAGTTCAATCCCCAGTACCGCAAAAAAAAAAAAAAAGATAGCAGAACATTCCCCTGAAAGGCAAATTGCAATCAATTATTAACCAATACCTTTCAAGTCTGTGCTACAATTCAGTAAGTTCTTCACAACAAAAAAGCCAGCAACCACAACTGAATGAACTTCACTAATACTTTCAACATTTTATACATGTAATGCCGGATCCACTCTTTTTAAGACGGAGTCTCACTATTCAGGCTGGCCTTGAACTCACTTTGTAGCCTAGGCTGATCTGGAACTGTGATCCTCCTGCCTCAGCCTCCTGAGAGCTGAGATTACAGGTGTTCACCACCATGCTCAGCTTTTCTGCCAGTCTTAAATCCACTATTTTAAGAGCCGTACTTTAACAGTCATTCCTACAACTCATTCTCTTAGAATCATTGACCTAAAAATGAAACCTTGTGGCCAAAGTATACAAGTCATTATGAAGAATATGAAAAGATTAGCATTTGTTTATAAACCAGCATAGGGAGTAAGATTTATATATTCCACACTGGGCATGTGGGTGCATGTCTGTAATCCAGTACTCAGAAGGCTGGGAGATCACTATTAGTCTGAGCCCAGCCTCAGTCAGTGAGTTCAAGGTCAAAGTGAAGTACATAGTGGGACCTTGTCTAAAAAAAAATAAAGACATATATTCCCCAAACAGTAACTTTCTGGACTTGAACAGGTCTGCTGGAAATTCTGCAACATTTTATGGGAAACTTCAAATATATGCTAGAGTTGAAATAATTTTACAACAAATACGTCAGTATCAGTGAGAAGGGGCCAGGGAGATAGCTCAGCCGAATAAGCACTTGCCTGGCAAGCATAAGGGCCTAAGTTTAATCCCTGGTTCCGCATAAAAAAAAATACCACTGAGAGTCTACCTTTTTTTTTTTTTACTGTTTTTTAATTACTATACACTCAACCATTATCCAAATCACCTTACTTTTGCAATGAACTGCTGGGATTTTTATTTATTTTGTAAGAGGCAGGATCTCACTATGTTGTGAAAGCTGGGCTTGAATGCCTGGCCACAAGTAATCTTCCTGTCTCAGCCTCTGCAGTAGCTGGAATTCAAATCCCATGCTTTTATACTTGGCTACTGCTGAAATTCTAGAAATGATACTTGTGTTAGAGAATGAAAAAATATAGAGTGACTTCTCCAAAATGTGACTGATAAGGTGTACAAATAAAGAAGTATGGAAAACATAAATGCACAGTCAGTGTTCGTCTCCCTTACTAACCTTTGATCCATCTATTGGTTCACAAATGGCCATCTTAGATTTCCACACACCTGTCCACTGTGTCATGCTTACCGCTCTTGGTGCCTCAGCATCAATCTGTGAAGACTCTCTCAATGTTCACCCATTCAACTAGACTTAACAATGTCCCCCATAGGTGCCAGATTCTTCATCATTTGCAGTCACCACATACTATCTTTTCTATGTTGTCTCTTTTACTAAACCCTGATCTCATGAGCAGGAATCCCCCATTTTATCTCCTAATACTCAGCAACCAGTACAGCACTTAGTCTACAAGGAGCACTCAGTAAAGGGATAGTAATGGATGGTTTGAATGTGTCTTTATCCAGCAGCCAACGAAGAGTTTAGTGGAGTATGGAGATGATCTAATCACAGTGGCACTTTGGAAAAATTAGTCTTAGGACACTGTTAGAGAGTATGAGCTTTGGAGCCAGACTGCATGGACAGGGATCCCAGAATCCCAGCTCTGTTGCTTACTGCTGGGTGACTTCCGTCACATTTCTGAAGCTCCTGGGCCTGAATTTATTCACTGGGAAATAGATATCATATTACTTCACAAGGGATTGAGAGTATCTAAGACACTAGAAAACACACACACACACACACACACACACACACACACAGAGGCCTGGAGGTGTGGCTCAGGGTAGAGAATATGTGTAGCATGCTTGAGGCCCTAGGTTTGATTCTCAGCACCACCAATCCATACACACAGTTTAAATGATCCATCAATAAGATAATAAGGTTAAAAAGTCCGTAAAGCCCATGTGGTAGCAATGAAAACAAAGTGGAAAGAATGGCTGTTTATTTGGTACAAGGTCTCACTGTGCAGCTCAGGGTCATAGTAATCCTCCTGTCTCAGTCTCTGGAGTGCTGGGATTATAGGCATGTGCCACAATGCCCAGCTGAAGAATGGCTGTGAATATAGAATGTAGCTTAAAATGTTCAGTCAAAAGGACAAGCGAGTGGGCTTCTATTTTGTGTTGTTAGGTCATGACTGGATTTCTTTTTGTAGAGCTGGAGATCAAATTCAGCTTTTCTTGCATGGTAAACACACCATTTTACTTGTGAGCTACATCCTCAGCCCATAATGATTTTTAAATTAGAGCAGTTATGATCTACCCAGCCTAAGCACAGATGCTGGGCACTAAGACTTGAGCACATTTGGACTCTGGCCACAAGCTCTGTAACTACTGCAAGCTTCATTCTGTAAGTCTTTCAGTCTCTCAGTTATTTCATTCCTCCTTATTACTCCACAAATTTCCATTTCTTTAGTGTGTGATCCCAGTTCTCTATCATGTGAGGATATTCCCAAGAACCTTGGTTGAGGAATAGTTCTGCAGTTTTATCCTACCCAACTCTATATCACTTTTTCTTTTTTTCTTGCCCACCTCCTTCCCAAGCCTTACTATTCCCTACACGTAGGAACTTGAAACCTAAGAGTATGGGAAAGCAACAGAGCAGTAGCCGTGGTGCCAAGAACTGGGGATACTGCCAAGCTGTTCCCCAGGCTCCATATGCAGTGACCCAACTACATGCCAAGTGGATTTAATTGCCCATGGGGCCTCACACACTTGATATTCCTTTTTACTTCGGTTCATTTTTTTCTTCCCTCTTAAAACAACCTTCTCTAAAGCCAATGTCTTCCAATCCAACCCATTCTTGAAAACCCAGGTAGGGCCCAACTTCTCCAGGAAAGTATCCTCTGACCATTTTGGTCCATAGATATCCTCCGCACAGATAAACACACAAACAGGTACTGTACTTACTGTCTGTACCATAAAGCATAGTCATCGTGCACATTTGTACAATAAATGTTCCATGTGTATATATTTGATTTTCTATAGGGAGGAACAATGTATTCTGTGTTTCAAACTCCTTAATTCAGTGGGATAATACTTGAAAGGTGATAATCAGAGGATGTTTGTTCATTTTAGTCTAAGGCAGCGGATAAAAGTATGCTGACATGAAAAACACTGAGTGAACATGTGAACAAAAAAGCAGCAGTTAAAATGACAATATGTAGAAGTTATTCAATTAACATTAACAGGTTTACTGTGAGGTTTGAAAAATACAGGAGATGTGAACTAGAAAAGGGAAGGGAAAAGTCTATCAGCTTAAGAGAATACAGCAGGAGAAAGGCGAAACTACAAAAGAAAATTGTGAACATTATGCTGAAATCTATAGGTAAGCCAAATAGGTAAGTGAAGGTAAAGGGAGTTACTGGGATGACATGGATAGATGTCATGTGAGTGAATTGGAAGGAGCGGTATGAAACGGGGAGGTGGGGAGGTAGATAAAATGGTTGAGGGTAATTAGCCAGACAGGTCAGCAGGTTGAGTAGATGAGTAAACAAGAGACAGATAAATGAGTGGTTTTTAGTTAAGTGGCTAGATGGTTAGGTGTTCAGTTGGTAGGTAATAAGTGTGGGGCATGTAATTTAAAAGGCAGCCCCTCCCTCACCTTGACCCGGAAGCGGATGAGTGCTAGCCTCACGCAGTGGCTCAGGCAAGCTGGTGGCAGGAACCAGGCCCGTGGTGGAGGGGTGCCCTTGTTGCCCACGTGTCCCACGATCAGTTGCGCTGTCTGCCTCTCGGCCTGGCACCGACGGCCCCACTCGGCCAGTCGGTCTTTGCCCAGGCCGCCGGGGAACATGACCACCAGCTCCAGACCTTCGCCGCCGGGATAGGCACAAGCCTGGCACAGCGCTGACAAGTAGCCCAGCATGGCATTCCACTGGCCACCACACACCCAATCCGTCTGATAGCCACCATAAAGCCGCGGTAGCGCCGAGCCCGCGTCTACCAGTACCCGGGCCCCGGGTAGCGGAGGGGGCGGCGGCGGCAGCAGAGGGTGTAGCCCAGGCTGCGACTGGCCGTGGTGGTGGAAGTGGTGAGCAGGGTGATGGTGCCGAGTCGGCCCTGCGCCCCCGGAGTAGGCACCCAAGGCAGCGGGTGGGAACGGCGGCTGCAGAGGAGCGGAGCCCCTGGCGGCGCGTGGGGCCCCAGGCGCTAGAAGTGCAGTCGGTGGTAGCTGGCGATGCAGGTGGTGCTGCTGCTGCTGGCGCGAGACAGTGCGCGCGAGTTTGAGGAGGTCCACGGGTACCACGGCCCCAGGACAGCGCTTCTCCAGGAACTCTTGGAAGCCCTGGACGCCCATGCTTCTTTAGCGGGCAGAGGAGAGCAACTACGCTAGCAGGTTAGGTGGCGATCCCGCACGAAGCTGGGGGTGGACGCGTGCGCACTCCACAGGGGGCGAGGGGGGGCGGGAAAAGGATTCCCGAGGGGAGGGGTGTAAGAGCAAGGGAACGAGGGTGGGGAGAGGAAACCACAGACTGGATATGAGTGGAGAGGAGAGGTGAGGCAGACCGGACTTAGGAGAGGTCGGGAGGTTAAAAGCGATATCAAGCTCTAATCGTTTCTCGTCTTCTCTCCTGCGACTCTTCTTCACCGCTTCAAAGAGGGTGAAGCCTCTTCCTTCCACCTCCAGGAGCCATGTTGCCTCTTCTCTATGATACACGATTTCTAGCTGGGAGCAGGAGCCGGAGAATGGGGCGGGGCGGATGGGCATCCTGGGAGTTGTAGTCTTTCCCCTTACGGGCTCAGGATGCAAGCAGGGCAAAGGGATTACAGGCCAGTTGGGCCTCGCAGTTCACGAAGTTAATAAGAGGCGGGGCGTTAAAAATGTGTTTAAGATTTGTGCTCCAGCTTTTTGCATGGAGCTATTTTTGCATGGACTTGCCTCAAGCTATTTACTGCCATTCCCAAGAAAAAGAGTTTTGGGGAAAGCAATGATGCACCATGGGAAAGGAAATAATGGGTTAATCGAATTTGATCAGCCAAAGTGAGCTGAAATTCCCCGGGAGGAAGAACTTTACCTTCATTGGAAAAAAAGAGGCTAGCTTTTATTTTTATTGAGGGATGGGGTTGAGACACAGTCTCTCTTTGTACTTCAGGTTGGTCTTGAATTCACTATGTAGCTCAGACTGACCTCAAACTCTGTGATCCTTAGCCTCCAGGATACTGGAATTAACCGGCATGCGTCACCATGTCCATCTAGCAACTGTAAGTGTTTGAAGAGTTGTTTACAGCGGTTAGGAATGTTGAAGCTCCCACAAAGGAAGTTTCTATCCGTGGCAGTACTACCAGTTGTTATTTACTTCATTTGTTTGGGTTTTCACAAAGTTGTACAATAACTTCATGTAGAAGATCTATACTCAACACTAACCATTTTACCAAATTAAGATTAAGATAATTACAAATGAATCAAATGACCATAAAAATAAGCGAAGACACTTGTGACCAGAGGCTAAGAAGAAATGGGCACAGATGATGACCACTAAAAATTTGCCTCAGAGAGTATGTTTTATATTCCTAGAAGTGAGGGTTAGTGTGTCATGACAAAATTTGGCAAAGATTTCATTTGAAAATTGTGAGCAGGCCATAGTGGTACAGGTGTAATCCCTGCACTTTGGGAGGCCAAGGCAGGGAGATTGTACATTCAAGACCAGCCTGGAAAATGTAGCAAGAACCAGTCTCACTGATCCAGGACCTTGAAGATAATGCCAGGGAGAATGAGCCAAGTCCTTAGGTACAGTGCAAAGAAATTAGAAGCTACAACAGTCTCAAAATTAAAAATAGGGGCTGGGGAGATAGCTCAGTAGAATAAGTGTTAATAAGTGCTTGTCTGGCAAGCGCAAGGGCCTGAGTTCAATCCCTGGTTCCACAAAAAAAATAAAATAAAAAAATAAAAAATAAAGGGCTGGGGATGTAGCTCAGTGCAAAAGCTGTGAGTTCAGTGCCCACTATGGGGGCAGGAATCTGCAGTTACTGGGGTTATTGAAAATTCATAGGACTTCCTGATTTAGAGCAGAACTTGTATTTCCACATCAAAGATTTCACTGATTAGAAAAACGGGGACTTATGAGGTTATTGTACATGCCTCCCAAATACTCCTTGTTTTCCAAAGTGATGATGTTCTCCTGTACAATCATTCAGTGGGAATGTATGGTAGAAGAGTCACACAGAACAGGGTTGAATTCAGCATATTATTTCCTGTTGGAGCACTGATCCAGGACCTTGAAGATAATGCCAGGGAGAACGAGCCAAGTCCTTAGGTACAGTGCAAAGAAATTAGAAGCTACAACAGGATGACCCAAGGTACTTCCTCCAGCAAATCTGAAGTCAAAGAGCCTAATTTGAGCTGGGGGTAGCTCAATGGTAGAGTATTTGCCTAGCAAGTGAAAGGCTTTGGGTTTGAGCCTCAGCACAGAAAACACACACACACACACACACACACACACACACACACAAAGAAGCCAAGCCAAGGATGGTAGTGTAACTGGCAGAGCAAAATAGAACTTTATTTTTAAATTTATTATCATTGTGTTGTTTTTTGAGAGACAGGGTCTCACTATCTAGGTCAGGCTGGCCTGGAATTCCTAGTGATCCTCTTGCCTCAGCCTCCAGAGTGCTGGGATTATAGGAATGTGCCACCACTTCTGGTCTGGCCATAAAATAGAACTTCAAAAGTTAGATTTTTTTTTCTATTAGAGACAAGCCCCAGACCAAACTTCCTCAGGCCAAGTGTTTAACTGCAACCCCATCCTCTCTTCAATCTATGTAAAGTGGGAAGAATATGAAGATTCTGAGTCTGATTTGCTTTCCACAGGGAAAAGAGAGAACAGAATAGGGCTGGAGAGATATATGTGTAATACAATTGCACACAGTGGCAAATAACTATAATTTCAGCACCCTGGGAAGCTGAGGCAGGAGGACTGTAAGTTCATAGCCTGGATAATTTAGGGATTTAGGTAGACCCTATATCAAAATTTATTATTTCAATCCTCAAACCACCACCACCATGCAAAAAAAATGTGGAATTGTCTATTTTCTTACAGTATATCTTTTCCTCTCTCTTCCTTACTATAAAAGGGCCTTATACCTGGACACAGTGAGATGGTGACTTGTAGCAACATGAAGCCCTTCCATCTCTCTCTTTTTTTTTTTTTTTTTTTTTGGAACCGGGGATTGAACTCAGGCCTTATACTTGCCAGGCAAGCGCTTATTCTACTGAGCCATCTCCCCAGCCCCCCTTCCATCTCTTTTGGTGCTAGCTTTGAATAAGGATTTCTTTTACTATGCCCCTTATGTTTTTGTGAATCTGCAAGCAAATGGATTTAGTAACAGTGAAAATAGTGCTGCATGTCTGTAGTGCCAGAACTTGAAGGCTGAAGCAGGATAGCCAGTTCAGAGCCAGCCTGGACTACATAGGAGGCCCTATCTTAAAAAAATAAACAAGCAAAACCCAGGATAAGCCTAACTCAATGAGATTTTTGGTGCTAGTTATTAACATTCTAAGCTAACCCCAATGAATCAAATAGCCAAGATTTTAAAGCAATTATAGTCACTGAAAATCAAATCTAGTGAATAGATACCATAATTGATCAGCCAGAATAGTGATTCTCAAGTATATTTCTGAGCCACACATCAAGACCACTTGTGAATTGTTACAAATGAAACATTCTCAGATCTTACCTAATAAGAAACAGAGAAATTGAGTGAGCTGCTCCCTTCCCTTCATTCAACTGTAAACACAACAGTACCTTAATGATTACCCATGTTTAAATTTAGGAGGTTTCCATTTCCCAGGTGGCAGAAGGTGGCAGTGGCCCAGTGAGAGAAGGAATGGGAGGCACATGGAATCAGAGGTGTCTAATCCTTTTAAATACTGGAAGGTTGAGTTATGAGAAGTTCCTCTTTTTCCTCTTTCCCTTTGCCCTTTCCCCCTTCCTACTGCTACCATCCCATGATCTTCAATAATAGCTACTTACTATGAGGTATACACTTAGCAGTACTATCCTTGTCTTGCACACGAACCTGGACTATATCAGGCCCATTCACTGTAATAACCCCAGACCTCCAGGATCAGAAACATTGTGAGGTGAACCTGAAATATGTGGCTTGAGTAATGTCAAATATAAAGCCAGATTTAAGTTAAATCAGTGAAAACAGATTCAGCTACTGACAGTAGGGGGAAACTGAGCTTTATTCTGATTTGAACAGAGGTATTTTAAAGAGAGAATGAGGGGAAGGAAGGGAGAAAATGGGTACTCAGTAATGTCAATAAAGTAAAAAATCCAGAGGACAGGTGTGTGTAAATGAGGTTAGGTCAGCTGTGTATGAAGGCAGGGGAATTACTAAAGTTAGATTTCTATCTTGCTTTCAGAGACTGGGAGACAGAGTCCTACCCTACCCTTCTTGGTGATTATATTTCTAAGGATGCCCCTGAAGCTTCTTGGGAAAGACACCCCTGAGTTGTAGGAGAGATATACACATCGCAAAGGGGCAGAGGAAGGATCCAGAGTTCTAAGCTTATTTACTAAAATGCCCTAAGAAAGGGAATCCTAGGCCAGTCATCATCTGTGAGCTAGAATAAACTGTAAATTCTTTTCATAGTCCTAAAATTTTCCTGAAATGAGGCCCAGAGTGGGCTGGGTCTTGCCAGTGATTTCACCATAGGTTGGTAGAAGCTGTACTAGTTTGGTCAAGTCTCCTATGATGAGAGGTTTGAAAGGAACATACATACTTAGTGCTTTTTCAGGTCTCATTAGCCCTCCATGAGATTATAATACTCCCTCACACTTGAGAACCACTATACTTGTATGGCATACACAAGGTCCAAAGTACAGACTGGTTAATGAAATGTATTAATGAATTGACTATCACATTTTTCTTTCCCTTCCCTCACCCTTCCTTTCTCTTTCCCTTTTGCCCCCCTTTCCTGACAGGGTCTCTATGTGTAGTCCAGGCTGACTACCTTGAGCTAGCTATGAAATTTGTGGTCTTCTCAACTCTTCAAGTGCTGGGACTACAGGTGTGCACCTCCACATTTGGTTTCCTGTGAGTTTTGCTGTTTGGGATTTTGCTTTATTGGGTTTTTTGTTTGTTTATCTGTAGTACTGAGGATTGAACGTAGGCCCTTTACATTGAATTACATCCCCAGCCCTTTTTAATTCTTTTTTTATTTTGAGGCAAGGTCTTGCCATATTAAATAGGCTGAGCTCAAATTTAGGATCCACGTGTGTCAGCCTCTCAGAGTGCTGCGATCATAAGTATGAGCCATTACATCCGACTCTCAGGAATTATTTTATGTGCATAATTACCATCTTTTTGTATTCAGGTGGAAAGTATGTAACCTCTTCTGGACCCGGTGACTGACTAAAAATGTGATCTAAGGGAGAATTTTGATTGTAGTTAGTTATTAATTTACTACTACATATTAGATCTGTTAATGACAGTTGTTTATAAAAGGTTTCAAGATCAAGAGGGGTAACATTTAGATTGTTACTGAACTAAACTGTCACCAAAATGATGTGCTCATGTCATCCCATTATTTCTGGGTTTTGATTTTTGCTTCTCGTGTATTGTGCAGTTTGGTCTCCTAACACCTGGGCTCAACCAATCCTCCTGCCTCTGCCTCACAAGTAGCT